AAAAAGCGCCATTTTGGTGCACTTCTCGTGGACAATGATATTTTATTCCAAACTATGTAATTACGTATACATTTCTAAAAATGTTTGTTTTTATTAATTTTGCAAGACACATTTTTATGTTACTAACTGAAATTAGTGCGATTTAAACTAATGCGCCTTTTGACTGCCTTTTACGATTACGAATATATTGGCAAATTTGCGGTTGTTGTTGTTGTTGTAGCGGCTACAACAACCCCGCCCAGATCGGTTGGTATCTCAGTCGTTGTCGTCAAGTTCCACTAACGGCAACCCTAGGAAGCGTGCAGCTTCTGTGGGATCTGTCCACAGGGACAGGGCCGTTAGGGTTGTCGGGTTTTCCGGGCATGCGAAGAGATGGTTCGAGTCATGTGGGGTCTCTCCGCATGCCGGACATTCGTTCGGCACATCCTCATTCAGCCTACTCAAGTAGGAGTTTAACCTGCTGCAGTAGCCGGAGCGAAGTTGAGCAAGTGTAGTGCGTGTCTCCCGAGGCAGATGAAGCTCTGTCTCGTCAATGTCCGGGGGTGGTATGCCTAGAACGGCATTCACAGGTCTAGAGTCTACATAACTCGAGACTGCGTCCCTGTGAATGCCGTTCAGGGCCTGTCTGTACGCTGTCGGGTCCAGAGGTTGCTTAATGAACCTCTGGACTTCGTCCGTCAGTTCATATAGATGCCTCCTGACGTGCCTAGGCGAGGGCTCCTCTGCAAGCAGCTGTCTGTTTGGGTGGCCACTTCTGTGGCTCCCGATCAGGAACTGCTTGCAGAGCATTATGTTGTGCTCCTTAACTGGGAGCATTTGCGCCTCGCCGTGCAAGTGATGTTCTGGCGACATCAGGAGGCATCCCGTCGCTGTCCTAAGTGCCGTATTTTGTCCCGTCTGTAGCTTCGTCCACTGCGTCCTACTAGTCCCTGGCGACCACACTGGCGCTGCGTAGTTCAAAACCGGCCGGCCTATTGCCTTGTATGTTGCCAGCAACGTTTCTTTGTCTTTGCCCCAAGTACTGCCGGCTAGCGACTTGAGGACCTTGTTGCGGCTCTGTACTTTATTGACAATAGCGGTTGAGTGCGCAGAGAAGGAGAGCAGGCTGTCGAATGTTACTCCGAGTATTTTGGGGTTATTCACCGTCGGAATTGGTGTGTCATCGACGTGAATCCCCAGCGGTAGCCTGACCTCCTTCGTCCAGGTTGTGAACAGGGTCGCGGAGGATTTCGTAGGGGAGAGGGCTAGACACTTTGCAGTGAAGAAGCGAGAAAGTTCGGAGAGATAGCCGTTTACTTTCGAACACAGGTCATCAATTCCATTCCCAGTCGCCATGATCGAGCAATCGTCGGCATAAGAGACAATCGAGACTCCCTCTGGTGGTTGAGGGAGCTTTGAAATGTAAAAGTTAAACAGTAGCGGGGAAAGGACACCACCCTGAGGAACCCCCTGTTTTATTTTTCGCTGCTTACTCGTTTTGTCTCTGAACATTACCGACGAATGTCGACCACTTAGATAATTTGCCGACCACCGTTTGAGCCTCTGTGGGAGAGAGGAGGCCTCTATATCTTCTAGTAGCGTGGAATGGCAGACGGTGTCAAACGCCTTTGACAAGTCCAACGCTACTAGAATCGTTCTCTCACAGGGACGGTTACGGTTAAGGCCACGAGTTATCTGAGTGTTTATGGCGTTAAGTGCTGTTGTTGTACTGTGCACTTTACGGAAACCATGCTGATGCTTCGCTGGGGTCAGGTGGTTTGTGAAGTACGGGAGTAGCAAGGCCTCGAGTGTCTTCGCTACCGGGGAAAGGAGTGTAATCGGACGATACGAATCTCCTTTGTTGGCAGGTTTCCCCGGTTTGAGCAGTGGGACCACTCTCCCCACCTTCCAGATGTCTGGGATGATGAGAGTGGCCATTGACAAGTTGAGGACCTCCGTTAGGTACGCTACCCCCGCAGGACCCAAATTTTTCAGCATCAGCATGCATATTCCGTCGGGACCCATGGCTTTGGAGGCTTTCGCCTTCCCGATGGCCACCTGAACTTCACCGCAAGTGAAAGCAAGGGGGGCACAAGTTGTTGGCAGTTTGTGCAGCCTTCTGGTCACTCGACGCTTGGCTTTGTCCACCGGAGGATGCAGTATGAACTGCCGGCTAAAATAGCTCGCGCATCGCTCCGGGTCCGACGAGGCATGGTCGCCGAAGGAAATTTCGACTCTGTCGTCGTGCTTCGTCGGATTAGACAATGACCTCACGGTTGACCAAAGCTTGCTCACACCAGAGGTGAAGTTGCAAGTCTTCAGATGCTCCTCCCACTTCTTCCGCTTATGTACGTTTACAAGTTGCCGAATCTCCGCGTTGAGATCCCTGATACGGGGATCTCCGGGATCGGCCTGACGAAGGCTATCACGCTCATCGGCTAGAACAGCCGCTTCGGCAGGGAAGTTTGGACGTGGGTCCGATATACATCCTGCCGGTATGAAGCGAGCTGCAGCAGCAGTGATAGCCCTGCGGAACTTACGTTCACCGAGATGGACGTCGGTTGGTGTGGGGAGCGCTGCGAAGGTGTTTTCGGTAAACTCCGCGTAACCTTTCCAATCAGCTTTAGAAAAGTTGATATAGGTCCGGTGTTTGGCGGAGGCAAAGTCGGTTGGTTTATCAATCGAGATGACTATGGGTAGATGGTCTGATGCTAGAGTCAGCATAGGTCGCCACGTTATGCTGTTTATCAGACCAGCGCTGACTATTGTGATGTCTGGCGAGCTACTGCAGTTACCCATAATCCTGGTGGGTGCGTCGTCGTTCATTGTGCAGAATGTCGAATCGTCTATCTGCTCAGCCAAGTCTGTTCCCCTACGATCGTTTGACAGGCTTGAGTGCCAAAGATCGTGGTGCGCATTAAAGTCACCTACTACCATACGGTTTTCACCTCTGAGGAGCGCACCTATATCAGGGTGATATCCTGCCGGGCAGCAGGTGACAGGGGGTATGTATATGTTAAATATTTCGAGCTCGACATCGCCTGACCGGATAGCGATGCCCTGACATTCTAGGGTGGTATCCCTGCGGTCGATGTCTGCTTCGATAAGACGATACTGCACGGTGTGGTGCGTGATGAACGCTAAGCCACCACCATTATCTCGCTCGCGATCTCGACGGTGCACGTTGTACCCGGCGCAATTCAACAAAGTTGAATTGCTGTGCAACTTCGTCTCTTGGACCGCAGCTATTAATATACCATGCCGACACATGAAGACGGTTATCTCCTCAATCTTGCTCTGTAGCCCGTTACAGTTGAATTGAAGGAGCTTCATGTGGTTCGGGAGACGTGTCGTGATGTGGGGTGTGAGTGAGGTGTATGTTCTTGCCGCCGTTGGCTGTGTGTGCTGCTGAGGTGATTGCCGCCCTGTGGTGGTGGTGGGGGGCGTCGCAATTGAAGTCTGCGACCGAGCAGCGCAACACGGGCCCTCGAAGTTCCCCGTCCAATCTCGCGTGGTACGCAGACCTGAACATGCCCTAAAGTGGCACCAGCCAAGGCAGGTGTTGCACTTGACTGATGTCACATTACGGAATATTCTGGTCTGACATACCGTGCAGATTGTAGGGGGAACCAGGAGTTGTTGGCGGCGGCGTGTGGGTGGTGGTGCGGTTGTGTGTGTTATGTGGTCTGTGGTGGCTGTGGTACGGTCTGTGGTGTTATTATGTTGTTGTGTTGTGGCGACTGTGTGTGGTTGCTGTGTGAGTGTGTGGGGCTGCACGGGCGGACTATGGTTTGCCGTGGAGGCTGCTCTGTTTGAGCAACAGGGGGCCACGTACGACGTGGTCCACTGTCTGTGTGTCCGTAGTCCCGAGCAGACCCTGAGGTGACTCCACCCCTCGCAGGCATTACACTTGACTGAGGTGGAGTTGTGGTGTAATCGTCTTCGGCATACACAGCAGGTGTATATTTCTGGCCCAGGGTTTGACTCGATGCCAGCCCTGAGTAGGAGAATGCGTAGTGAATGTTGCCCTATGGACGGACAACTTCTGAGATACTTCGCCGACCTAAACGGGGTTAGATCGCCGAAACAACAGCCCTTGGTCGGGTGAAACCCGAGTCATTCCGGTACGTAGAACCGGCTGTCGTGGGAATGTCGCAAATTTGCGGTCATTCATACCTAAGGGGTACGCTGAATCGCCTATTAAATGCCTATCCTACTAAATAAGCGGTGAGACTGTATTCATAGTTTTACTATAAAATATGCTTGTTTTTAACACTCGAGTATCGTGCATTCGACCGGTTGCCCATCAAATATTTCAATCAATTTTTCCAGCATGTCCCATAAACCTTGTAATATGACAGAGTGTAACTGTTTAAAATCACAAGCGTTTCCAGCAGGATTTAACGTCAAAAATTTCTGTAGTCTTTACTTGCTCGGCATTTGTTGGCTACTTACTGTAAGATGTCCTCATCTGAGAGAAAAGGAAAAGTAAATTCAAAAATTTGATTATACGAACGGTTAGGAATAATTAATCGATCGGTAATAGACACGAATTATTCTTGCTTGCTCAGAAGCCAAACGATTTTTTCCCCAAAGCCAGATTTGCAGTGCGACTTTGGAAATAAGGGAGCAAATAGTTTTAAAATCACTCACTCCCCTAAACTTTTACAAATTTATGTATACTTCAAACGTTGTGCGATTCACTCAAAATATTCCTTGAACTTGTCCAGAGTGTATATTGGGCATCGTATTTTCATAATAATTGGCGGCCGCTGTAATGTAGTGGTTAGCAGTGCGCGCTACCACTCCACAGGGCCTGGGTTCAAACACACGTCAAAGCAACATCGCAACAGAAATATAGAAAAACAATTTTTTTCTTAACAGCGGTCGCCCCTCGGCAAACCTCCGAGTGTATGTATTTGTGCCATAAAAATCCGCTTCTCATAAAAATACAATCGCCGTTCGGGGTCGGCGTAAAACTGTAGGTCCCACCCCTTTGTGTGACAACATCAAGGCGGACGCCACAAATCGGAGGAGAAGCTCGGCCAAACACTAATGTATATTTAAGCGCCTATTTATTATTATTATTTTCATAATAGATTTGCGAGCGAAAACATTTCGCTTTTAGTTTTTATATCGAGCCCTAACCTCAAAAAACGTGTAAGCAACATTTTTTCAAAATTTTCTTTTTGATGCAGAGCATCCAGATGCATTCCTGCATCAAAAATGAAAATTTGAAAAAACGTCGCTCACATCTTTTTGGCGGTTAGAGCTCGACATGGTCAATATCGTTTATTTAAGCTTTCATTTGAAGTACAAAAACGGCCACATTTTAGTATTTACGTCCACGGTTCGTATATAATACTCCAATGTAATTTAAATTCTTTTGTAAATTTATTTAGTCAAAAATACGAATTCGTAGTATTCGCTGCCAACAAAATAAACAAACAAACTTTAGATTTGAGAGCTAGATTTCACAATATTTTTGTGATACATTTTTAATTTAGTAATACTAATTATGATATCGTAAATTCTAATCTGTTCATTAATTCATAAGAATCAGAAACTTTTGATCAGTGATCGAGTTGCTCTGGTGAATGCGCCCATTATTGTACGTAAAATGAATAAAAGTGGCACCGTCCAATCCACGTAACGGGAACGACCCAGATTTGTCTGGCCAAGGACTATCAGTCCTCAAATTCGCGCTGTTACAACAACAATCAAACTTTTTGCAAATATTCATGTAAATGCTTTGGTTAATGATGTATTTTGGAACGAATTTCCAATTTGGTTAAATATATTCACTTGAGCTGAAATATTCCCTCTTTGTCGATTGTATGCCTTCAGTTTCATTTGGGTCTTACAGTTCTGTACCACCTCCAACGACATTTACCTTTACGGTAATGCAATCGATTCAAAAAAAGTTTAATATTTTTAGCATTTTAGTTAGAGCGGCCTCTTAATATAACTAATACACCAACTAAATTCTGCTACTTGAGCTAATCGAATTTCCGAAGCTAAATTTAAATAAGCTGCAGTGTAATATATCACAATACATATTCGTACATAATGAAAATCTTATATTAAAATTTTAAATGGAGAGTAACTTGTGTCTGGGATGCGCTTATGATTTAGTGTAAAGAACTTAATTTACAATAAAATAAATGCATTTTAAGCTACATGTTTTTTACAATATTATACGTTTTCCAATAAATCATTTTATTATACATTGGTTGAAAAATTAGCATGTATATATGTTTATATGAAGTGTCAGTCTGTTAAGAATACGTTTCTGCTTCAGCCTAGTAATGTAAGCAGCTCTGACAAATTACTGATATATTCGGCTGAAGTCATCATGCACCGCAAATTATAAACAATTAATACTTTAGTCACCAGTATGTAAAAATCAATGAGTTGCCGATTTGTAGTATATTTGGTAGTAAAGATGGTGTTTGGTGGTAGAAATATTGTACATAAATTAATTTATGGAGACGTTTGGCAGTTGTTTACCTTATAATTGCTAAGAAAAATGGTATTCATATTACGCATAAATTTTTCAACAAAAGTTAATCAATTATCTCCTTGCCAAGTAGTAAACATCTTTTAATTAAATAAAAACTTTCTGGTAGTTAAGTATGCAATATACTGTACTTACCACTTGTAAACAAATTGGAGCCTCCACTAAAATTTTCTAAAGATATATCGTCCCTTATTTTGTAATGCGACATATTTAAGAAATTATTTTCAATCAATTGAGTTTTTCTTTCGGCTGATGAATCTTCATGCAGGTGTCAGCAAGCAGAGGTTTCTTCACCACCCAATGTAAATGCCACATTTTCCAACTTATGCGATAAATGCATTTTTTTACAATTAACATCGGTATCCAGAGCATGCATTATCTATGAAATAAATATTAAGTACAAAATTCGAGCTTAGAAGGTTGCAAATATGATTAAATTGCATTGACAAAGGCAAGTATTTGTGTTCAATTTGAGCCTAGCAGTCGCTGGAACTCCTTACACATCTGATATGTACTATTTTTATTCTCTAGCGCACTTTACACCCTCCAGCACTTTAAAGTTTGTTAGAATAACGATTGTTTATATGTGCGTCTAGGCGAATGTGCTCACGGTTGAGTAAACATTCTAATATCAAACCGAAATTTAGTTGTTGTTGTTGTAACGGCTACAACAACCCCGCCCAGGACGGTTGGTATCTCAGTCGTTGTCGTCAACTTCCACTAACGGCAACCCTAGGAAGCGTGCAGCTTCTGTGGGGTTTGTCCACAGGCACAAGGCCGTTAGGGTTGTCGGGTTTTCCGGGCATGCGAAGAGATGTTTCGAGTCATGTGGGGTCTCTCCGCATGCCGGACACTCATTCGGCACATCCTCATTCAACCTACTCAAGTAGGAGTTCAACCTGCTGCAGTAGCCGGAGCGAAGTTGTGCGAGTGT